TTTTTTTTTTTTTTTTTTTTATTTTACAGTTCAGTGACTTTTGGCAAATGTGTACAGGCATGTAATCACCACTAAAATCAAGATATGTAACATTTCCATCACCCAAAAAAAGTTTTCTTGTGCACCTTTACAATCAATCCCCTCCCTCCAGCCCTCGTCCCTGGCAACTCCTAATCTGTTTTCTGTCACTATAATTTTATCTTTTTTTAGAATGCTTATAAATGGTATCATATAGTATTTAGTCTTTTGTGTCCTGCTTCTTTTAGTTAGGATGATACTTCTGAGATTCATCCATGTTGTCACATGTATTGCTGAGCAGTGTTCCACTGGGGGGTTATACCACAATTTGTTTATTCATTCACTAGTCAATTGGCATTTGGGTAATTTCAAGTTCGGGGTTAAAATGACCAGAACTGACACCAACATTCATGTACAAGTCCTTGTGTGGACATACGTTTTCATTTCTCTGAAGTAAATACTTGGGAGTGAGATGGCTGAGTAGTGTGGTAAGTGTATATTAGCTTATAACTAATGGCTGACTTTTTTTCCAACATGGTTGTACCATTTTACATTACTATCACCAGTGTATGAGAGTTCTAGTTGTTCTACATCCTCACCAACAACTTGGTATGTTCAGTCTTTTTAATTTTAGCCATTCTAAAATGTGTGTAGTGGTTTTAATATGCATTTCCCTGATAATTGTTGATGTTGAGCATCTTTTCATATCTTATTGGCTGCCCTTCTTTTGTGATGTCTTTTGCCCATTTTTTACTGGGTTGTTTGTCTTCTTATTAATAGAGTGTAATCATTTTTACCTCCCTCTTTTCTTCTTCCTCCCTCCCTCTGGATCCACCTCTTTCTCCCATTCTGTCTCTGTTCCAGTTTCTGACTCTCTGCCTCCACTCTGTAAGTCTTCCAGTATCTCCTCCTCTCTCTCCTTCTCCTTTGCCTCCTTCTTGCTCCTCCACTCATGTTGTCCCATCTCTCCTCCAGAACAAAAAAACCCATTGCTGTTGAGTTAATTCCCACTCATAGCAACCTATAGACAGAGTATAATTGCCTCGTAGAGTTTCCAAGGAGCACCTGGTGGATTCGAACTGCCAACCTTTTGTTTAGCAGGCATAGCACTTAACCACTATGCCACCAGGGTTTCCTTCTCTCCTCTAGGACACCTCAAAACCTGAGAATCTTGCCTCCTTTCACATTCCATATTGAAATAACTCCATCACAGAATTCATTCATGGCTAGGTTCAGTGTTCCACAGGGGGAAGACCTCTTACCCAGATGAAGGCCCAGAGAAGTAGAAAGACAGAGCCTGGTATGGATGGAGGGATGGCTTTGCATTCTGGCATATTCCTCCTCCCTAACTTATTAATGGTGTTTATGGATTGAGGACCTTTTTACTCAAACATAACATTTGGAAATCAGGGGTATTAAGTGAGGATCATCCTGCTTAATCAGTAATCCTGTCGTCTCTACAAACATAAGATTAGCTGTCCACGTAGTAAGGCTCTCGCTTGGCACACCTCCCAAGCCCAGAAGGGATTTACCTTGCCCAGGCATAGGGAAGAAGCAGCCTAGACCAAAGCCAGCTCCTTTTTGTCTTTGTTTGAGGGAACTGGTGTGACAATATTTGACTGCAAAGCTCAGAATGCTTGTATGCAGTGTGAGAGTACCCCAGATGGGTAATCTTAGAATGATTTTACTTGTTTTAACAGCTTTATTGAGATTGAATTCAGATACTATACAATTTACCTATTTAAAGTGTCCAGTTCAGTAGTTTTTAGTATAGTGACAGATATGTGTAACCATCACCACAGTCCATGTAATTTGTGGTTTTCCGTGACTGGCTTTTTTCACTTAACATAATGCTTTCAAGGTTCGTCCATGTTGTAGCATGTATCAGTACTTTATTCCTTTTATGGCTGAAAAATTTTCCATTGTATAGGTGTACAACATTTTGTTTATTCATTCATCAATTAATGGACATTTGGGTTGTTTCCACCTTTTGGCTATTATGAATAATGCTGTTATAAACATTCATGTACAAGTTTTTGTGTGGACATAAATTCTCTCATGGGAGGGTGGGTATATACCTAGGAGTGGAATTGCTGGGTCATATGGTAATTCTATGTTTAATCACTTCAGGAACTGCCAGACTATTTTTCAAAGGGGTTGCACCATTTTACATTCCCACCAGCAACGTTTGAGGGCTTTATTTCTCTATATCCTCACCAACACTTATTATTATATGACTGGAAAGTTTTTCTGATCCAAAGTATCACACATAAATAGGCAACAGTATATACATTTACACACTCATTGACACAGACACACACACAAAAATACATAAGCATGCATGCCTGCACACACCTCTAGAGTTTACATATACATGGAATCCCATATAGACATATACAATCACATATACAACCACACATGCATATAGTCACACACAGCATACATGCATATCAATCTACAGACCCACATGTGTGAACAAAATCAACCTACAATACACCAATACCATCGCAAATATACAATTGTTATGGGTTTTGAACTAACATTCACATTTGCATACAGAACCAGAGACATGTGCCCTCGGTAATGCATTCACACCTGCATAAACACACATACAACAAACAATAGCTGCACCACTAAAGCATAGTCATAAAAAGGCACAGATACGTAGTTACCATCACCTATGAATGTATAACGAAGAACAAGATAGTATGAAAGTGGTTGCGATTTCATGAGTCCTTGGTGTGTGGGGTAGGAAGGCCTTTTCATTCATTCATTCATTCATTCTTTAATCTACAAGTATAAATTGAGCACACATGAAATACAATGAACAAGATTGACATGCTCCCTGCCCTCATGGAACTTAGTCTAGTGGGGGAAGATGGTCAATAAATAAACAATAATCACAGCCCGTGATATGTGACAAAAAGGAAATAAACAAGATAATACGTTAAATAACAGGCAAGGTCCCAGGATAGCAGGCGAGAAAGTAGCCAGTTTCCAGGAGCTTCTATCATGGTTGTTCCCTCATTTAGCCAAGAAAAGTGAAAGGGATTCAGATTCATCTTTTATAAGTCGTTGGACAAACTGCCATGTGCACACGTGTGTGTATGTATGTAAGTGTGTGTGTGTGTGTGTATGTGTGTGTGTAGTAATAGTAGCAATAGTCAGTAGGAGTAGAGGCTCAGAAGCCAGACTGCCTGGTTTTAAACGTTCCTTGTTTTGTACTAGTTGGGTGACCTTTTCTTTTTTTTTTTGCGGTGTGTTTGTTTCTTATCTGAAAATAGGGATAATCGTACCCATCTCTCATGAGTCATTGTAAGGATTACATTAGTTAATATTTGGAAAGCACTTAAACCAAACCCAGTGCCATCGAGTTGATTCTGACTCACAGCGACCCTATAGGAAAAAGTGGCACTGCCCCATAGGGTTTCCAAGGCTGTAAATCTTTATGGAAGCAGACTGCTGCATCTTTCTCCTGCAGAGCAGCTGACAGGTTCTAACCACGTTCCTTTCGGTTAGCAGCCAAGCGCTTTAACCACTGCGCCACCAGGGCTCCTAAAGCGCTTAAAACTGCCTGGCAAATGTTAAGCTCTCCGTCTGTACTAGCTGTATCACTTTCCAACAGTAGGTGTTCATTAAAGAAGGTGAGCACATGGGGAGGTGGGTGGAGCGAGGAGATGCCGGTTTCTTGTTGACTGTAAATGGCAGCCCATAAACCAGTCCCTCCCTGCCCTCCTCCACCCACAGCCACAAACGCATGATGGGTGGTGCTGGGCATGACCCTTGGTTTCCAGCTGCATCAGGCCGTTCTGCAGCAGCTCCGTGTGCTGTGAGCCTGGCTTGTGAAGCTCACTGGTTCTGTTTGGCTGTCTTTTCTGTCTGTGTGTCTGTATAGGTCAGCACTTATCACCCTGCACCTGCCTCCCCAGGACATTCCACAGCCATCGTCAGTCTGCCCAGCTCTCAGCAACACCTCTCAGCTAACATGTGAGTAGAAAGCTCCACCCTCTGCTCCTGGTTCTGGCCATCCCTCTGCCATCGAGCATCACGGCTCCTAAACCATGCCATCCAGAGGCAACAGCTCCCTTCCTTTACAACCTCTGGAGGAAATAATGGTGAAAACACAAATTAGCACTACATCATCCTGTCTCCTTATTTCACAAAAGCACAAAAAGATTTGAACATTAAATACTGAAACATCGCTGAGAGATTGGATATTGAGCAATTCTGTCTTTAGATTCAAAACGTTGGTTCATAAATAGATCTTGCTTTGGTAATCAGAGAAAAATACAGCATTTTAGGGGGAAAAAAAAAAAAGACTTGCCGCTAAGAACACTCCACTAGCCCCTTTGATAAAGCACTCCAGTATCACAGTCCTTATAGAGTTGGGAAGGGCTTCCTGAGATCTCTCCTAAGAGCCATATTCTGGTGACCCTTAATCTGGCAAGCCCAAGTGCGTTCCTTTTTTTAATACCATTAAGCAAACAATCTCACAATTCCTTATTGTGTTCACACCCCTGACTCATTCATGGTGTTACTTGCATGATTACTAGGTGGACTTTGTTGTTGTGTGCCATTGAGTTGATTTCAACTTTTAGCGACCTGATAGAACAGAGTAGAACTGCCCCATAGGTTTTCCAGGGAGTAGCTGGTGGATTCAAACTGCCGACCTTCTGGCTAGCAGCCTGAGCTCTTAACCACTATGCCGCCAGGGCTCCAAGGTGGACTTTAGATCATCCCTGGTCTTACCTGAGGACACTTTTGCCATTTTACAAACCTACTCCCCTTCTTCCCATCACACAGCCATTATTCCATTGTGTGCCCAAAATCCACAATTAGCCCCTGTTTCCCATTTCCCAGTGTCCACTTCCCTGCCTCCATTAAGCTCACTCTTCCAGGAGTCAAACATGTCTCCACTCTCAAGGGAGGGAGTAGGTATTCTGACTTCTCATTTCCCTAAACCTTCCTGGTCGCGACCATTGTCTTGCATGAAACTCCAAGAAGTAATGAAAAAAGCATCCTGATGTGAGCCATTACTTCTAGGTTTGAGACCTGGCTCTGCCAGTAATTCCTGGTAGCCAACTCCTTTCTCTGTTCTAAGTCCATTTCCCTAGTTATTTTCAACCTTGTGGCAACTTAGGGAGAAGGAGGGGATGATGAAGAGAGCCTGGATCTGAGCCCCCCACTGCTATTTCCACCAGGTTGTGCCACCTTTATATGCCTTAATGATTGAGGAATCAATTTTTTTTAAGGTTTTTGTTGGTAACCACTGGGTGTGGGGTTCTGTCTCCCTTCACCGTTCTCTGGCGGTATGCCCTCCCTGGGCAGACTCACCATCTTCCCTCACCAGGCTCCCTCTGTCACCCCAGGTTTGTAGCCCTGCACTCATACTCAGCCCACGGGCCTGATGAGCTGGACCTACAGAAGGGAGAAGGCATCAGGGTCCTTGGGAAGTACCAGGATGGCTGGCTCAGAGGCGTCTCCTTGGTCACTGGGCGAGTCGGGGTCTTCCCAAACAACTATGTCATCCCCATTTTCAGGTATGTCCCCCCAATCTCAGCATCAGAAGGTTAGGTCATCCTAGGCCAGGGGCCGTCTGTGGGTTGAACTTATAAAGGACTCAAGACTTTTTCAGAGTGTGAGCCAATTAACAGGTTTTACCCTCGTACCCTCCTAACAACTTACTTAAAAAAATAAAGCAAAAGTTAGCACAGATCTTCACAGTTTACAAGCACTTTCATATCTTTTAACTTCGGCTATGCCCAAAAGTCCTGTAAAGTAGATATTATTTTACACATGAGGAAACTGATTTTCAGAGTTAAGCAACTTGCTCAAAAACTAGATTTCGGATTTTCTATTGCACCAGAACCAAACAAACCCATTGCTGTTGAGTCAATTCCGACTCATAGCAACCCTATAGGACAGAGTAGAACTGCCCCATAGGGTTTCCAAGGAGCACCTGGTGGACTTGAACCGCCAGCCTTTTGGTTAGCAGCCGTGGCATTTAACCACTACACCACCAGGGTTTCCTTCTATTGTACAAACCCCAGAAATTCCACTTCACATCCTCCACCCTGACACACAATCTAGTGGCATAATGGGAAAGTATGATGATCAGTTGACCTCCCCAGAGCACCATGGGAAATTTACCAGTATGCTAGGCCACTAGACATATTCCATGGACTCAGACTACTACTAGTCCATTCATACCCCAGATCAAATGCCAGTTGCCCTGCAAGTCCTCTTCTCTAACAGTTTTCCCAACCTTTTCCATTCTGTAGGGTACCTATCAATTTCACCAGCCCACAGTACATTTAGCCACCTCATCTCAAGACCACAAATGCACACAGGCTCCCAAAACCATCCATGATTTCTCCTACCTCCACCCCCATCAGCCCAGTCAAGCCTGTCACAAGGCTTTGAGTCCATCACTATGCATCAGATGGTGTCTTTATGACATACCAGAGAGTCACAACTACGAGGAAAGTGACAGTCCCATTGTAGTCTATCAGGGTCAGAGCTGCAATCACATGTCCAGTTTGGGGAACTTCATTTAGGCGGGGCACTGCATCCGGAGGAGGGCAGCCAGGATGGTGAGGAGACAGCAAACTACCTCATGGGGGAAACCGATGAAGAAACTAGGGTTGTTTAGCCTGAAGAAGACAAGGGTCAGAGGGATAGTAATAGACTGTGTAGATATGGACATAGGTTTGTTTCAGGAGGGGGCAGAACATGGACCAGTGGGTAGAACTTTAGAAGAAAAGGTTTTGGTTCAATAAAAGGCTACATAACCTGTACATTTTCTCAAGCAGCCTGGTTGGTGAGATGGTGGACACCCTTTCCAGGAAGAGTATAGGCAGTCTGGGTAGATCCAGGGTTTTACAAAGAGATTTCTTCACATGGAAGGAAGATCATAGTTATTCCTTTCAATGGAAGGTTCTTGGAATTTGTTACAAAGTTGCAAAATCTCCAAAGGCAAACTAAGGCTGACTATAACTGATGCTTTAATTAATTCACTTATTCAACAAATATTTATTGAGTACTAACTATGTGTCAGGTACCTTTCCGGGCACTGGAGAAACACCAGTGAACAAAATATGCAAAATCCCTGCCTACAGAAGCTTACATTCTGGTAGGAGAGCTAGACAGTAAACTACATATAGTAGTAAAATATATGATGTGTTAATGATAAGGGCTAAGGAGAAAATAAAGCAGAAAAGGGGGATAGAATGTGTGGGCGTGGTCAAAATTTCAGAGTGGTTGTTCAGGGATGACTTGATTGAGAAGCAAGTTGACAAAATGAAGAAAATAAGGCGGTGGGCTATGTGGATATCTTGGAGAAGAGTATTCTATATCAAAGGAACAGCAAGTGCAAAGACCCTGAGGTAGAAGTTGCCTGACATGAAGGCCAGTAGGACTGGAGCAGAGCAAATGAGGGGGAAGTTAGTAGGAGATGAGGTCAGAATGGTATTGGGGCGGGGGGTGCATAATATTTTTGCATAAGATCTTTTAGGTCATAATAAGGAATTTGGAGTTAACTTTATTGTAGGATTTTGAGCAGAAGAGTGACATAATCTACTTTATGTTTTAACCAGAATCACTCTAATTGCTGGGTTGAGAATAAACTGTCAAGAGGAAAGGGTTGGAAGCAGATAAGTTAAGAGGCTATTGTAATAATCCAGGGGATAGGTGATGATGGTTTGAACCAGGGTGTGGGAGCCATGGAGGTAGGGAGAAGTGGTTAGATTCTGGATATTCTCTGAAGGTAGAGCCAACAGGATTTTCTGACAGATCAAATATCAGGTGGGAAAGCCTAGATGAATCAAGGTGAGTCCAAGTTTTGCCTCAAGTCACTAGAAGATGGAGTTGCCTGTTACTGAGATGCCGATAGTGAAAAACAAGAGGAGCAAGATTTGAGGTGGAAAGAAATGAAAATCCTTGTTCGGGGCAGGTTAAGTCTGAAATGTCTGTTAGTGATCCAAGTAAAGCTGATGGTAAGCAGTTGAGTCTGGCATTTAGGAGAGAGACCTGGGCTTGAGATGGTATGTGAAGCTCTCAGATGAGATGAAGTCATCATAGTAGGATCAGTTGTATTGGAGAGAGTGACCGTGAGCCAGGAGCTAAAATCTTCAGGGAATGAGGGAACAGATCTAGAAGGTAAATGCTGACTGCAACAAGCTGGGATGGTGGCCAGTAGTGTCTGATGGTATAAGAGTCAAAGCTGGGAAGTATTGTGGTGGAGGAGGAGGAAATGGCTTAGAAATGACAGTGAGGAGCAAGGAGGACACCTACCCTAGCTTATGAACAATTTTCTTCCACGGGATCTAACATGAATTCCCTAGGGCCTATGCCTAATACTGGGGCATTTGCTAATGCATCAGGCCTTAGCCCAAAATCTTGGCGGTGCCATCAAAGAACCATTAGAATAAGAGCAACCATGTAGTTTATCATCCAAACTATGACATTTTGCAAATAAAATGAGGCCACTCTTAATGCACCAGGAGGGCAGGTGTAAGCTGAGACTCTCTTAGTTAAACCAGGACATATGGTCACCCTAACTAGAATGCATGTAGGATTCCATCTCAGTGCACCCCTTTCTCTCGTTCTTGACTTTCCTCCTGGGTGAATCTGTTGCGTTCTTGAGCCAGAGTTGAGCTGAAGAAGTAACCCTTTATCAGAAAGGGCCGCATGTCAGACAATGGATAGAGTTTCAGTATCATAGATTGCCATTGAGTCCACACATTTCCCAGCTCATAGAAATCTAAACGTATGTATATATTGAGGTGCTACTAGTGGTAAGGGGTGTTTTTACTTATAGGGAACCAGCATTCCCAATAAGAACAAGTCCTTTCAGAGTATGTGCTTCTGAGGGTTATTAGGTGACACAGAATCAATGGTTTTCCAGTGTCTGTTTACTTTCTTTGATGGTTTGTCTGATGCAAAGAAAGTTCCATCTGACTAATCTTGGACGTGGGTGACATATATCCAATTTGTCTAGCTGGGTGCAGCTCATCCTTGTTCTCAACTATCCTTTCCACTGTGGGAAGTTTAGTTTCTCCCATCTCTCAGGGCTGAATAATGCTATCCTTTGTCAGCTGAGTTTCTGCTACCATTAGCGGGTTACATGCTTAGAATTGAGTGGGTTAGACTAAATGTGCAAGACCCCTTTACGCTCTTTGATTCTGTGTGTATATGAGTTGTTTTTGCTGTTGTTGTTGTCTTTGCTTTTTGTTTTTTCCCCAAGACTTGGTTATCTGTTTGCAGTGATGGGTCTGCACTGCCACCCAGCCCCCCTGGCTGTTATAAAACAGCCAGGGCTGGAGGGTGGGTTGTGCTCCCTGAGCATCTGAACCTTTGCTCTTATTAGCATCATCCCCTAATGAACTGAGCCAGCCAGAGTTCGGGGGTAAACTATAGAACAGAGTTGACCAAATTGCTAGAGTTTAGATTTGAATTAAGATTCAGAGAGTGAGCCTTTTAACTATTGAGAGGCAAAGGCTGCTGTGCTATTCAGTGCCGCAGCCCCCCATGCTAGTGACACCAAACTGTGCACTATTGTTGACCACAACTAAGTCTCTGCCAGTATGACACCTTTCCCTATATTCTGGAGACGTTCACTGACTCATGCTGTACAGCACATTTGTCAAGTGTTCATCCCTCATCGGATCCCCCTTCCTAATAGCACCTATGTCCCCTTGAGGTTCCTACCATCATGTGTAGTCTCGGTAGGAGGCAGAAGTTTCTTCTCTTATCAGAGGCCAAAGAAACCAAATCCTCTTCCTTCTCCTCCTCCTCCTCAACCCATCACCACAGCTAAGGAGTAAACGAACTAAGCCAATCTGGATGGAAAGGACTTGGGCAAAGTTGACGGTCATTTGTAGCAAGAGCACAAGCAGTAGTATCTGATCAGACTCTTCCTGACAGCAGGTTCCTACTGCCCAACTCTCTGGAGGCTCCTTGGAGCCATTTCCAAGCCCTTTCTTCTACCTCCTGTCCTCCCAATGAATTCGCTTCTGCCCAACTAGCCAGAATAGTTTCTCTTTCTTGCAACCAAGAATCTTCACTGACGCATGTGCCCACTCGGGGCCTGATGGATGGACAAAAGAGGCAAAGGGGCCACCACTCATTTGCCTTTAACTCTCTAAATAGAACTATATCAAAATTGTCAAGGTCCAACTTTTCTCCTTGCCAGGAGGCTGCTGCCAGAGGAAAGCCTGGTAGAGCTGCTGTTTGTAATACTTCTTCCAAATATCAGGAAGTTCTTAAGGCTCATATCACAGATAGAGAAGAGGACACAGGGACCTGTACACTCAAAGCAGGCACAAAGGAGCAAATTAGCAGCAACATCTACTCTTCCCACTTAAGCCCAGGATGTCTTTTAGTCTCCCCATCTGGAAAAACAAGGTTGATGTCTACCAGTCGGGGGTGTCAGAGAGATTCAATAATATCTACTAGCAGAGTGCTTTGATGTTAGAAGAAGGTGCTAGGTAAGGGCTGGGCTTTGTGCTAAAGAACATAAGGAGACTCAGAGTTGGATCTGAGAGCTGGGATTCAGGAGTTCCTGGAATTTGGCCCAGTGCTGGGCTTGGAAAAATGAGGTTGTACCTCAGTCTGTAAACAATCATTCAACGAAGGGACTGATGGAATAAGGCTATCTTGGGCCTAATTAACTGTATTCGCTCCTTACTGCTGCTGCTGGAAACAATTTTGGAACCCGTCTTCCCTGTTTATAATCCATTTTGCAAAATCCAACACCTTGAGGCCTCTGTTCAAAAGGCAGCCAGATGCTGTGCTCTGCCCTGGAAGCCAGTGCTGGGGATTTCTCTCTACCGCCCAGCTGTCATCTCCCAAACATGGTCCCACCTCTTCCTGGTGGACAGCCCCTCCCCTCGTCACTGACCAGAGGCAGGTTGTCAGCTGTGGGTATAGGTCCCACTGCCTCAAGCATCAGTTTCTAGGGTATTTGTCTGCATACACTTCTTGGGCAGCATTGACCACAGTTAAATGATGCCTCACCTATAGTCATACAAGACTGGTTTGTTATTAAACTACATATCACTTTTTTAAGCAAAAGAAGGAAAGAGAAGGAGAAATAAGGATAAATTATCTTAAGAAAAGCCTGGAGGCATTGGCAGGAAGGAAGCCACGGGGGCATCTCTGGGCTGGGACTTGGTTGAGCTAGTGATTCCCGGGAATTAACAGAGGTTATTTAATCAGAAGAGTGACAAGGTGATGGATGGACTGTCAGGTAGGAGATGGACTGTTGGGGCGGGACTGGTGAAGGGGCAGGAAAGGCATGTCAGATGACATCCAATCCCCATGAGGTGCAGGGAGTTGTTCCATGACTAGAAACAATGGGCAAAGGATTGTTGTTTTTTAAAACCTTAATACTTCCTTGAAAATCACAGCCAATGCCTAAAGAATTAGGGTCTTATGGAGGTGTGTTTAGGGTCCACCAGGTGCTTTGGTGTGTTTATTTCAAGCAGGATGCAGAGTCTGTAGAAAAATGCTCTGCCTAGCCATCAGGAGATGGTGTAGCTCAGTGTTAAGAGCATGGGTGCTGCAGAGGGCCAGCCTATACCTCGGTTCAAATCCCACATCCAACAGTTGCTTGAACAAGTAACTACAAGTCTCTGCATTTTTTGTTGTTGTTTTGTTTTGTTTTTTAATCATAAAATAGTAATGCTATAAGTACCTACTTCAGAAAGGCTGTTGTGAAGAACCAATGCAATAATGCAGGCAAAGCACTTGGCCAATGCCGGGCATACAGTAAGTGCTCAATATGTGTTAGTTGAAATGACTGGCATCAGTGCTGAGTGCAGAACATAATATGTGCAGAACACAGAGGAGATCAAACAAATTGTGCAAAATCTCTGCCTTCAAAGAGTTTAAAATCTAGTGGAAAAGACACTTAATGAGCAAGAAATAGCCACTGCAAAGCAAGATGAACACATACAAGATGTCATGCTCCAAATTCAAGGGCTGAAGGGATGTGGGGTGAGGAGTGATGAGAGCTGGAGTAAAAGATGACAAAATTCAAGTCTTCTAGTTCTACCAGGATCTGGCAAAATGACACACTCTCCCTTCCCTCAATGCACCCATACAGTTATCAAGGTATAGGGACTTGGAGCCTCTTTAGTTAACCCTGTGTGGTTGAGGAGGGTGAGGAGCGGCCACATTTGCTGTACGGTTGGGAGCTAATCGTTTTTTCAAATGGCACTCTTGACTGAATATTTTCTTCCTCTATTTCTTCTCTTTAAAAAAATTCCAACAACCAGAAGGACATCTAATTTTCCAGAGTCCCGGAGCCCTGGTCTCTATGCCACATGGACATTATCCACCTCTTCTGTGTCCTCCCAAGGCAGCATTTCAGAAGGTGATCCCCAGCAAAGCCGTCCCTTCAAATCCGTCTTTGTGCCCACAGCCATAGTCAACCCCGTGAGGAGCAGCACAGCCAGCCTGGGGACTGTAGCACAGGGGTCTCTTCGGAAAGGGCGGAGCAGCATGAGAAAGAGTAAGTGGTGGCAGAGAGGTACGTGCCTAGAGTTAAGTGTTGGGGGATCTGACCCTGGGGCAGACAGAGTGCTTTTCTCACCAACAAGGGTCTTGGCTTTAGAAGATGCCTGTGCAAGGGTGCTTTACAATTCCCAAATGCTAAGTGGTTTTACTGAATGAAGCCAGACCGACTCAAGGTAGCTGCCCTTGGTCACTTTATACGTTCACGTTGATTGACTGGGGTGATAGCAGCCCTGAGAGCCAACATGTAATTAGAACACAGCCAAAGTAGATGCTGGCTCTTGTCAAGACAGAACAATCAAAGCACTTGCTGGATTGGTGCTTCTGAAACTGTGTTTCCAGGGAACCCCTCAGGGGGTGCCAAAAGGGAAACAAGGGAAGGATAGGGAAGAGAGGGGGAAAGGAGGGTTAAACAGGTAGTGCTCAGAGCCTCTAAATCCCTCTTTTTTAAGTAATACATACACAGGGTAAAAAATATTATATCGTACAAAAGCAAGTCTACCCTCATATCCTGAACCCCCATCCCAAGTTCTCTTCCATGTATATGTACCTTCGTATACTCTCTGCACTGTTCTGCACCCTGCTTTTGTTTTTACATACAGAGCATCCACGTGGTGCACATGTCAGTACATACAGATCCATTTTAAGAGTCATGCTTTTGTCATATCGAGATTCCACATGTGATTTCATTCTCAAGGGTTACAAAAAGTGTTTGGCACCCATTGTTCTACAAAACATCGAAGTTCTATATTCTTAGACTTCTCTAGAAGAAAAAGAGCCAAAAAAAGTAAATATGATTTATTCTGCGTCCCCTGATTTAAACTACGCTCTACAATCCTTTTTTGCTATCTTAAAAAAAAAAAGTTAAACATGAAAATGCCATATGACAGCCAAAGCAAAAGAGGAACATGTGGGACAATGTGCCACACAGGAGAAGTTCCCAAGAAAAATAGAACAAATATCTTAGCTGTACCCTTTCCCAATACTTTCATCTGATGACCATTTTGACCACCAGTCTCACTACTCTTGCCTCTTAATTCTGCTCAACCATGCCTCCCTCCCCACTCCCCATCCTCCCATTATCCCCCTCCAACCTCTCTCCTTTCAATGAAAAAAGTAATCCCACCACAACAGACTTGAGCAAGTTACTAACCTTCTCAATCTTCAATTTTCTCATTTGTAAAATGGAGATAAAAATAGTGCCTACCTCATCAGAGTATTGTTTGTATTTAATAAAATAATCCATATAGAGCTGCTGGCACATAATAAGCTCTCAAGAAATATTAGATATTTTTATAACTGTTGTTGTTAGTTGCCCTCAAGTCAATCCCGACTCATGACGACACCATCCATGCAGAGTAGAACTGTTCCATAGGGTCTTCAAGGTTGTGACCTTTCAGAAGCAGATCACCAGGCCTGTCTTCAAGGCACCTCTGGGTGAGTTTGAACCACCAACCTTTCAGCTAGTAGTTAAGTGCTTAACCGTTTAAGCTACCCAGGGACTCCTATTTTTATAAACCCATTGCCATCGAGTCGATTCTGATTCATAGCGACCCTGTAAGACAGAGTAGAACTGCCCCATAGAGTTTCCAAGGAGCAGCTGGTTGATTCAAATTGCCAACCTTTTGGTTAGCAGCTGAGTTCTTAACCACTGCACCACCAAGGCTCCTCCTATTTTTATAGTGCCATTATTTTCTTAGTAGTATAATTGCTACTACAACTAAGCAGATCGCTTTTGGCCCATCGAGAGCATGAACTCAGTGTTGAAATATTCACACTCTGTCTAGACCCCACTTGTGAATGCAGAGAATTGGATCTCACTGGCAACTTTGCACAGTTACTTTAATACTCTACTTCTCAACCCTTGTGTAAATCTTGATTGACTAAGAGCTTTTGTCCACTTGCATTGTATGTGCATGTAATAAGAAAGCATTAAACTTCTTGGAAATTGGAAACTGAAAAGATAAATAGATGCAACATAAATCCAATTTTTCACATGTCTGTCGGAGCCTGTGGACACGTCCGCCCAGTGCTGCTTTGACTTTTTCGGGTACCGAGGCTTTCTTCTTCTCCCTTTTCCCAAGGTGAGACTGGTCAAGCTATCAGTCTTCCCAGAGCAAATAGAAATGACAGGAGAATTGACTGTGTGTACCTCACAGGGCTGTCAGTGGAAAAATAAATGTCTACACCGAAAGGTCAGACTTGTGTAAATGGTGACTGGCTTGCTCTCAGCAGCTGAGAACACCGACTGTGTTAGTGAGCGTTCTGCTTTTCATGTCCACATCTGGCTTGAAAAAGAATCACAATGCGGAATGTGGCCTTGTCTCGGGCCCTCTGTGCTGAACACAAATGACTGTGACTCAAACGTGTCCATGGAGTATCACTAAGGACAAACATCTCTGACTAGGACATCACCTATACTCTCTAAATGCTGGGAGACCCTGATGGAGAAAAGGCCCACAATGCTTCTCAGGAGGATCCTCCCATACCTCCCAGAGTGCAGGGAACTCCCAACTCCCCAGGTCACCTACAAGACATATGCCTGAGGGGTGAGGGTCTCCTGTTTTCCAGAGAATTTGAGGGGAAGAGATGGCTTCCTTTTACTAGGGGAGGATCATCTCAGTATAAAAAAAAAAAAAGCTTTGGGAAAAGGCAAACTCCTAAACCTTGTATATTTAGGAGTTACTGTCTTTACCCAAACAGTTAAAGCACTCAGCTTCTAACCAAAAGGTTGGAGGTTCAGGTCCACCTAGACATGCCTCAAAAGAAAGGCAAGGAGATCTACTCCAAAAAAATCAGCCATTGAAAACCCTATGGAGCTCAGTTCTATTCTGACACACATGAGGTCGCCATGAGTCCAGACTGATTCAGTGGCAACTGGCTTTATCCTTTACCCCAAAATAAGGATAGCTAACAAACACAGGGCATTTATTATGTTCCAGCCACTCTCTGAACACTTTGCACACATCCTACAATGTAATCCTCACAACAGCCCTATGAGGTGCAGACATTGTTATTATCTCCAGTTTACAATGAGGGAGCTGAGGTGCAGGGTGGTCATGTGGCCTACTCCCTGGAAGGCAGTCTGATTCCAGATCCTGTGTTAAGAGACTTTGCAAAGCTCATCCACACACAGCCTGAGTTCTGGAATAACCTTTCCAAATTTACTTCTGTCTGGTGTCCCATTTGCTTAGCATACACTCTCTCTCAATTCCACTCACCTCCCCCTGCTACACACACACACCTCCCAACACACACAAAAAGCAATTCCGCCACCATATGACTAAAGCTTCTGTTAGAATTTTCATTAGCAAGCAGCTGGTCATAGTCCTCTCTCTTCCTCACCTCTCCACTCTCTACCCTTCTCGTACATCTCTGTGTGTTTCTCGATCTCTGCTCTCTTTCTGTCCTGTCTCTTGTTTCGTCATTGGTTTGCATGCCTTTGTATTCTTTTCACACTGAGAAGCTGTCTCTTTGTGTCTCTTTTTTCACTCTCCATCTTAAAAGTTCAGAGGGTGAGAGTAGAAGGCACGTGTGTGAGAGAGAGAAGGCAAATGGAAATCATTTACCTTCTGTTTACCTTCTGACACCCACCACACGCCCAACATTCAGCTAGCCCGTTATTTGCTGCCAGCATCATCAAAGAGCACTAAAAAAAGAATACGGTCACCTCTGAAAGACCCCAAGAGAATGTGAGTGCCGTCATATTGGGAAAGCACTTAACTATTCCGGGATACCAGGACACACTGCTTACCCAGCCCCGACCAACCTGCTGTCAGCCAGCCTGTTACTGATATCTTGTCACATAATTTCCCCAGATGGATCCCTGCAGAGACCTGTTCAGTCAGGGATCCCCACGCTTGTGGTGGGCTCCCTCAGACGCAGCCCTACCATGGTTGTGCGGCCGCAGCAGTTCCAATTCTACCAGCCACAGGGGGTCCCCTCCTCGCCCTCCTTGGTGCCAGTGGAGATGGGACCCAAGCCTGCTTCCACCGGGGAGCCTGCCCTCACGTGTGTCAGCAGAGGCAACGACACCAGGATCCACTCTGCGGACAGTTCCCTCATCATGGAAGGCAAGGAAATCCCCATCAAGAGTGAGCCTCCACTAAAACCACCTGCCTCTGCCCCACCATCGATCCTGGTGAAACCAGAAAACTCCAGAAATGGCACTGAAAAGGTAGGAGTGGGGTGACATTAGGCGAGCTAATTTTTGGACCCTCAACTTTGTATTTATGGAATTTCCTGCATGGTGTCCTGGCACCTGAGTGTTAATGTTGGTGGCAAGGAACCAAAATTACAACCTCATGAGATCCTAACACACAATCCTATTTCACCCCCCATCTTTACACCACTCATACCTTCTCTAAACATGTTACTGATTTTGTTTTTGTTTATAAATAAAATACATATTTATACATAGTTCTCTCAAGTCCCAGAAATGATTTGGGAAGAATGTGGCTTTGGCATCAGACATATATCTTAGTGTGAACTCCAGCTCTGCTTCTTGCTTGCTGGATGATTTTGGCCAAGGCATTTCACCTTTCTGAAACTCTTTTTCCCAAAAAATGGGGATAAGGATAGTAACTACCTCATAGGATTGGAGTGGTTGCAGTGGAGATTAAATGAGATAAGCTGTGTAAAGTGCTTACATGGGGCTTGACACATAATTATTCATTATATTAAAAAAAACAGCCAAGATACAGGGGGATTTAAGTGACTTATCAAGGTTGTAACACTCTGAGTTACGACAACTCCCAACAACTGGTATTGAGCTCGTAGCAGAGATCAGATCCATTAACTTCTAATCCAGAATGTTTCCCACTAGAAGACATGAGTTTTGTAAAAAGCTTATATTATCGATAATATGCTTGAAGCAAGAGAAATGGTGGGAAAGAAGAAGTGACGTTAACAAATTAGGTGATGCTAGTCATTATCTTTTAGTTTATTGAACATCACCACCATCATCACCACTATCATCACCACCACCATTACCATCACCTCCACCACCACTACCATCACCACCATTACCATCACCACTACCATTACTTCTCCACTATCTCCATCACCACCATCACCATTACCATCACCACCACCATTACCATCACCACCATCTCCAGCACCATCACCACCACCATTATCATCATCACTACCACCATCACCTATTCCCCAAAAATGGACAGAGAATGTGGTTTCCTCCTATTTGTCAGGTATTTACGGAATACTAATGACCTGGTAGGCCCCATGCTGAGCACTTCACATGTCCGATCTCATTTTCTCCTGACAGCAAACCTCTAAAACAAGTATTATTCTTATCCTCATTTTCTAATGAGGAAATGGAGGCTTAAAGTGTTAAAGTACATCATTACCCAAGGCCACACAGCTGACATATGCAAGTGGGGTAGAATTCAGATCTGATAACAAAAACGTGTGCTCTTAATGCTAAGCTATAAGCTTGTAGGGAAAGGCATTTGGAAGAAAGTTTTGAGTGATATAAACGATGGGAGTTCTCATTCTGAATTATAGTATTCAAACAATTCAGTTTTCCAAGCCTCAGTTGCCCACTACCCTATGCTATTAGATATATCCCCCAAACTATAAGCGCTTAGTAAGTGCCCAGATCTCTGCTAGGTGTGGTGAGGGTCATTTGAACTCTTTGTTACGTATATTTCACCACAATAAAATTTTTTTTAAAAATTATGAAGAAACCTGTTTTTCAGTGGGGGACACTAAGATTGAATTTCATGAGGAAAAAAAAATAATTCCTAAGCAGTACAACAAAGTACTTTATTAAACCCTATGAGCCAAAGGAAATACCTACAGGTATCAGGCAAATATATAACAGGCTAGGAGAAGTAGAAGAAAAGAGGGAGAGATGGGGCTTGAGACAAACTAGAGACCATGCATTTCATATAAAGGGGCAATTCTCCTTAGATTCAGCCCATTGTTGTATAATGGGGTATAGCCCAGTGTTGCTAGAGCTTTGATTTTTTAAAAGAGGCATACGAAATCCTGATTTTTATATGGAATCTCGCAATTTTTATGAGTTGACAACTACATCAAACTCTTAAACACTCTCCAGGCTAAATTCAGCCAGCAGGTGTCTAGTTTGCGAACTCTGCTCTGAGGACTTAAAAGGCCATTATGGAAAGTTCTAAATGAAGTCATTAGAGGAGGCCTCAGGGAAGATATAGGCCTTAATAGTAGTCATGGAGGAGAGACAAGAGGTAATATTGGTTTCTGGAAGGGATCATATCCTCTTGCCTTGGGTCCTTTTCACAGGTGGTTGCCCACCCCGCTTATGCTAGATAATTCGTAATCCTTTTTCAATTTAAATAGCTCTGCCTCTGGGAAACTTTCCCTAACTGTCCCACAGTCCAGCTTGAGCTGGCTACTCCTTACACTTAGCATCTTATACCTCCCCCATTGTAGCCCTTGTCAAAATTGTCTGTTTGTCAGAACTGTTTTGTTTACTCTTGGATTCACAGCACCTAACAGAGTGTATGATGCATAGGAACCACTTTTAGTAGGCACTTAACTATTTGCTGGGTGAACACATAAATGCATTTCAAGTCAGGGCAAGAGTAGAGCGAAAGCATGAACCCAGTCTCTGAGGGAAATAGCACATATCTCCCACCTCACCATGTCCCTTTGCTCTCCTTTCTCTTGCAGCAAGTCAAAACCGTGAGATTTCAAAATTACAGCCCTCCTCCTACCAAACATTACACCTCCCATCCCACCTATGGAAAGCCTGAACAGCCAGCCACCCCTAAGGGGTCCCAGCCTGAAGCAGCCCCCTTGGGCCCAGAGATGACTGTCCTATTCGCCCACCGAAGTGGATGCCATTCCGGACAGCAGACAGACCTCCGGAGAAAGTCAACTTTTGGCAAGGCCATGATCCCGGTGCCCACTGCCTCAGCTACGCAGACAGTGTTTCCCGGCAAATGAATCTCCTGGTGGCTATTCCTAGACCCCAAAGAGGTGAATTGCATTTAAATACAGTCTGCCTCCACTGCGGGTGTCCTGCTATTCTTGGGGACTTCAGCATAGGTCCTTGTTCTGCCCATTTGAGCTCACCTCCAGGAAAGGAAAGTGGGAGCAGAGATTCCAGGCCTGGAATAGAGGATAGACTGGGTGGCCTTCCAGACATAATGATTCCATGTAGCAAGGCCCACTGCTTAGATCAAGGAATGGGAGAGTGTCCTGCCCACCTGTATCCCAGCATGGGATATGTGTCCTCTCATTCCCTGTATTCTATGTAGATTTTCTATGGTGTCCTAAAAAGGGGCTTCACCCATGGGTGTCGCAATAATGGAATGTTAGCATTGCTTCTTCGACCTCATCACCATATCCTCCACAAGCGTTAGAATGGCTTCTGTCATCTTTTGGGCCTGTACACCAGGTGCTAGTAGTCACCATATTTTTTTCCCAGTCATAATGCCAGCTACAAAGGGAGCATTTTATGGAAATAGGGAGGGTGAGATGGATACTTTAAACATTCTAAGAACCCTCTAACACCAAAGAGAAGTGAGCTTCCTGAGTATGTACCACACAAGGTGAGAGATAAAACTGACTACCAAATATCAAAAGATTATCATACTTTACACTTCTTGATTGGTTTTCCCATATGAAATCCTACACAATAGATAATCAGAAAGCAGTCAGCTTCGGATAAGGCCCTGTATGGTGTTAGGGATAATTCATTCATCCTGGCTCTATAGTCTGACTTCCCCAAGAAAACACACCATGCTTGAAAACAACCTTGTGTGGGATTTGGGTTTAGACATATATCGTCTGTATTGTCCCATTCTTTTCTTTCCCTGGTTTCTTCTCATTTGGGGCAGACTAGTTGTTTCACCAAGTTGCAGGATAAGGCAACAATGTCAGTGAGAATATGACAGCCCAAGACACGGGTGAGGAGCACTTTCTAGAGGAAAGTTGCTATGAAAGAGACTGTATGAAGAATGTCGGAGAGGAAAAGGGGGAAGGAGGAGGACAAGGAGGGAGGTAAAGAAAATATGTAGGAGAGAGAGAGAGGAATAATAGTGAGAGAAAGAAGGAGGATTGAAAAACTATCACAAAAGCATGATAAAAGCAGGATGGGAGGTAGTCTTGACATTCTTGATTCGTGGGAAAAGAAGGACAGAGTCTGCAATGGAAAGAGGACAAAACTAGGTGACCCCAGTAAGATGGGGCTGAAGTGGGCAGGGCCAGCCAGGCAGAGCCTTGTAATCAAGGGTGAGGCGGCATCCTGGGCAGTGCTGTGAGACAACCCATTAATTCTCATTAAACTTAATTGTTGTCATTTAACATTTATAGCATGCCCATCAGTGTGGGCACTCTAACGCATAAATGCCATTTGCTGCTAAGGCTAGTTGCCATTGAAAAAGGCAGGTCTAATTAGACCTTTCCCCTGGACAGTTCTTGAAGATCCTGGGATTAATGACATGTATCTTTTACATACCTATCCACACACTTGACAAACTGAATTGTCTACAGATTTTTCCAGACCTTAATAAAACAAAAACAAAACCATAATCCTGCCAAGGAATACTGCGCATGCATCAGAACTTTGGAGCTGGTAGAGCCAACAGGGTAGCATGTTGTTCTAGTGCTGTTGGGTGATATTGACCTATGTCTAGTCCACAAAATCAACATGCCCCTCTTCATGCCTTATTGAGCTGAATAGGAAAATCCATATGGGAAAATGGGATAAAATCACAAGGACAAGGAGGCATTGTGTGATTTGTCAAAATATGAGTACCTATGCTTCATCTTTTTCCAAAAAAGAACTCTTGATGGGTTTAGCAATGAGTTTAGCAACCTCTCCACACCCAGAATAGCAGATGTATGACAATACCAGACAACCAAATATTTAATCTATGCCTCAGTAGCAATGGATTCAGTTCATTTTTAACTCTTAGGGATGATAAGCAGGTTGTTTGGATGTAATAGAGACACAGTTCATGCCTTCCAAATGAAAAGGAATCTTCTTCCCCTTGTCCACTGTCTCTGTAAGGTAACTTCTCTTAGAAATGTAAACAAGGCCAAAGGCTCTCCACCGCACTCCACCCAGCCTCTTCCCCCACGCCCATCATCAAACTCACTCCCTCCCAAACCAAATCCATCTCTATGGAGTCTTGTGAGGGTTTGAGAGGGACAGGTTTCTGTTCTCAAGTAAAAGTTGACCTCACTGGCACCTTCAACTGTTGCCTTCAACCAACATGTATTGACCATTTACTATGCGCTGGGCACTGCAATGAGGGCAATAGGCACATCCTGTCATTTAATTCCCACCTTAATTTTATAAGGCATATGTAACTGTCCCCATTATAGAGATGAGAAAACTGAGGCTTAAAGATTAACCACAGATAGTGGCACAGCAAGGGTTTAAACTCAATCTAACAGACTTCAGAGTCCATCTTAGACTATGCTGTATTAACCAAGAAACTATCCTTGACTTTAGGAAGCTGACTTCAGATTACTGGGGGGCAGCATAGTGTAATGATTCCAGATGCAGGCTCAGGCTTCACACTGACAGAATTCAAGTCAACTCTTATCACTTTTCAGCCATGCGATGTTGGGCAAGTTACTTAACCTCTCTCAGCCTCATTTTCTTAAATAGGAATGCTAATAGTGTAAGCCTCACTGGGCTAGTGTGAGGACTGACTCAGATGATATTATAAAGCAGCTTAATTAAACAGCATCTGACACACAAGGAACACCTCATAAAGGTTAGACATGAATGCTTTTAAGGAAACAGTCCATTGAAATTCCAGGTGAGAGATGCTAAAACAAGGGCATGCTCAGGGCTATGGGTAACTAAATGAAGATAAACAGCCTAGTGTTGGAGGTCAGACATAGTCTAAGCTGAGTCCTAAAGGTCAATCACGTAAGAGTCAGATAGATAAAAGGGTGGAAGACTAAAGAGTGTTCCAAGCCAGGGGTGGAACTCGGGCAGTTGGGTTTAAATAATAGCAATCAAGCCAAGTTCTCTTGTACTTGGAGTAAGTAGTCCATCGTTTGTGGAACATTCTAAGGATCCCAGCTAGAGTACTAGCACCTCAAGTCTGAAGCCTAAAATTCCATCCTGTGAGAGCTCCATCCCTTCAGCTAAGGATTGTATAGTCCTTAGGAAGGGTGCCCCTCTGCCCTGTGATCAGACCTTGGCACCTTAGTGCTAGGAAAGGTATTGAGGGTGAGCTTTGAATGAGGTTGGGCTGGGGGGAGGTTGCACCTGAGAGGTAAAGGAAACAAATGCCCTGCATGAGGAAAACTGGGAAATAAAGTTCACCAACAGCATCTCCTTCCCCTTAGCTGAGGACAGAATCTGAGGGCTATGCTTGAGGAATCAGTCTCTTTAATCAGCATCAAGCTCCTCTCTCTGACCTGGTCTCCATCTTTTCTCATTGAGACCAGCTTCACCTCTACCCTTCACCAACCCAATGTTGTTGTTGTTAGTTGCCATCAAGTCGATTCCAACTCATGGCAACCCCAAGTGTGCAGAGTACAACTGCTCCACAGGGTTTTCAAGACTGTGACCTTTCAGAGGCAGATCGTCAGTGGCCTGTCTCCCCAGGAACCTCCAATCCCATAGACAGTAATGTCCCCATCTGTGAGTTGGTGAGATGCAGGACTGACTCAACACATAACTCACTGACGTCCAACTTCTCCTAAAAAATCAGGTCTGTCCCACCAGGCCTGCATTCCTGTGCAACAGCATCCCAGTGGAACTGGGTCATGGCTACCCCAGTTAAATGAACGTGCACAAGCCTGCTTCACTCACTCATAAGACCTGCCCCTGAATTAGGTATATTCCCCCTAGAGACTGTGTGCTGGACTTCATCTCTCAAAGTCATCGTAAACACCTCGAAAGTTAGAGCTGGAAGGTCCTTAGAAACCAGCCGATGCAGGGCACTCAGGTCTCATGGGCGTGGTGAGCCTGGCCTGGGCCCTGGAGAGCCTTATCTAATCATTCTGAGGGGGGCAATGGGCCTCTGTATTCTCAACAAGTTCCCCAGGTGACTCTGAAGCATATAAAGTATGAGAATCTAGTCTAGACCCTCATATTGTATGGCAGAGCTTGCATTCAGCTCTGACAATCAATGAGAGTGTAGCTACACCAGTTGTTAGAATATTGAAGTATGTCCCTACCGATAGGTGAATAGTGGATGCTCCAAGCTCCCTGATGCTTCTTCCACCTCCCACACTCTGGTCCTTGCCCCAGATCCTCCCTACCACTCTACCATCCAACAACTAAAGGATTAAGGCCAAACTCAGCAGATACCTCCAGCCATAAAGCCCTTCTTCATTCTAATTGGCCAGTACCTAGGCCAAACTGGTTGCTGAATATCTTGACTGTTACTCTATTGGAGAGAATAAGGCCCAGAGAGATATCACTTAGAGGCAGGCACTCTCAAGCCCAGCACTCTTCCAAACCCCCATGCTGGCCACTTTCCAGCTTTCCTTGGCCAAGGAAGGGAACTGGTTGGGAGGAAGGGCAGTTTCATATTCGCCAGTCTACCTTTTTCAGCAAACACTTTCATAGGCATGAGCAATGCCCCACCCTTTGGCTTCCCAGCTCCTCTGGTATTTATTTGATAGGCATGGAAGTCCTTTGTTTTAATAAAATAAGCAGGCGTCCATTCTCCTTCTCCCTCCTACCTCTGACCCCCCAGCTCAGCCACACAGCCTCTGGACTCCCTTCCTGGGAGGTGAACAGCTGTGGCCAGCAGGATTGCAAAGTCTCTCCAGCTGGGACCAAGTGCTTAGCAAGCTGGCACAGAACAGTGACTGTTGAGAGTAAAGGCCACCAGCTCTCCTTTTGGCTAAAAGAAGAGAATGTTAGCTCTTTCAGCAACCTCTCAGGTAACTATGAAAGGCAGACACTTAGGGAATGTGTTTGGCAGGCAGGATCAAACCAGAGGAGCTAACTCCAAAGATCCTTG